TAGGGGTAGTACCGGTACTAATAATGAATAAACAAAACAATATTTTCATCTTGGTTCGAAGTTTCAACTGTCAGTGTGTAAATACACACAGATCATCCGCAACTATCCTGAGCCATCATGGTTCCCAATTACAAGAAACAGTGATCCATAATACCATTGTATTAAGCAATTCATGAAATAAAGTGAAAAGTTTCTTGTTGATTCTTTTACGAAAGATAGTGTTAAGACTTAAAAGTAGACTTCGCCCTCCAATTTTTTCAAAATGATAAGACTTATTGTATGAAAGGCCAGAAATTATCAAGATGAAAATTTAGAGTACAACTGATTCTATCATAGACAGGAGATGACCGACATGTGATAAGATTAAAAGTACTATGTGGACTTTTGGTTCCATTATTGTAATATTTATTGACTAATACATACTGAACTGAGGTATTGAGAGGGAGAAGTTTCTTAAAGAATTTTCTTGACTTGTTCTTGCCATATTAATACATATTGGATCACTTTGCTTTGGAAGGATGTAAAACCAGAGATCTAGAACTTCTGGAAGAAGAATTATTAATGTCTACTATAGGTGACCAAATTAACCAACAGAATCCATACAATTTTTGTTGTTGAATTGAAACCTACAAAGAAAGGTTATGCTGTTAACTTTTGTTTGTATGCGATCAACATTGGCAAAGGTTATTCCTATGAAGAAATAACAAAGGAGTGTTAGGTCTAAAAGTCATGCTCTTTTCTGCTCCAAACAAATAGTCTGAATGGCATTTGAGGCACTACCAATTTGTCAATTACTAGAGAATACATTCCCCTTTTGGAGATTTTCTCTGTATTTTTAGCTATGATTTCTGCCTTATGTTCAACAATTGTTTTAAGCTGTTCAAACTTTAGTTTATAATTGGTGACCAGAGGGCAACACTTTTGTAAGATTGTATGGCTTCTCCTTTCTTATGGGACACTGTGTAATAATAATGGTGATGAGGTTTCTCTGTACTTGGGCTTCAAACAGATTTGAATTGTTATCATTAAGAAGGCATCTGTTATGTTGAAAGGTATTGTGATTGATATTAATATCTTAACTTCATCTACAGAGTAAATTGTAGCTTGTAGTACTAAGATATGTAAAGACAGTTATTATACGCCCACATAATAATGTGGTTGTATGATTATTGTCGTTGCCCTGTCCGTCTGTCCATAGTTTGCTTGTAAATGCAATAGAGACAACAGTTTTTATACGCCCATATTATAATGTGGTCGTATATTGTTATCGCCCCTGTCCTTCCGTCGTTCTGTCTGTCCACAATATGCTTGTGAACGCAATAGAGACAACAGTTTTTATCTGATTTGAATGAAACTTGGTGTGATCAATTATATTCACGATATCTTGGAAAAGTTCGAATTTGACGAACTTTCGATAAACGGTTTCTGAGTTATTGCCCTTGCCCTTGAAAAAGCGTCAAAAATTGGGTTGTGGACACAATAAAGACTACAGTTTTCATCCAATTTAAATGAAATTTGGCATTGATATTTATGATAATGAGATCTTGGACAAATTCGAATTTGTCTATCTTTCGATGAACGGTTTTCATCCAAATTAAATGAAATTTGGTGTGATCATTAAGAAGAATGAGACCTTAGTCATGATTGAATTTGACAATTTTTTGATCAATGGAATTTGAGCGCAATAGAGGTGACAGTTTATGTCAGAATTTTGTTAAAGTTTGTGTGTACAAATTAGATTTTTTGGTATGATTTGACACAGATAGGTGACTGCCCTTGACATACTGAAAATGTGGAAAGTGGGCGTATCTTGCTAGGCAACCACTTGTTATAATATCTAATATATAAAACACTCTAAACCTAAACCATAGTCAATACATGCAACTTTGTAATTTAGACTCTATGTTCTCTGAATAAAAATGACAAATAACATATAAAAATTAAATATTGATTATTAAAAAAATAAATTAAAAGATAAGGATTATATGAAAATTATTGTGAAAAATATTTACATGCAGATTTGAGTAAGGCAGTGTCATGGAATAATCTTCAAAGAGATATTACCTCTCAATAGTATGTCTGCATTATGCCAACTTCTATATTAGTTAGGGTAACAGGTTCTTTTAGATTTACTCCAGGGTAACAAGGGATGCATTATATATTGCCTATTATTCATTAATAGATAATGTTAATGAAATTATAACAGGATATTAAGTAAAGCCCACCTTTCCGTTATGGTTGGAACAAAAAAAGGATATATGCTGTTGTAGGTGACAAAGTAATCCATCAACTTAAATCCACCTTTAATTCATCTTTGCTAATCAATGAAATTCTGCTAAATACTAATTGGGGTTACATGTGAAAAAGGTTTTGTAATGATAAAGCTAACAATTACTCTAACTTTGACAACAAGATTTTTTGTAGAAACTATTTAAATATGATATTAAATATATCAAACCATCAAAGTTAATACCCTTCTGTCAACAGATTTTATCATGTATTTTGAACAATTGAAATATTAATCTTCCATTTGATCAAGCCTGCTGATATTATAGTTACTGAAGATCATTGTTCTACATACGTCATAGTTTAAATTTGACCAAATAGATTGTGTTATTGATCATTAGATAATTTAAAATGAATCCTTGACATTTTCTCCTTTTCTGTTATTTTCTTTTCTTTATATTAGTTTCTATTGATACTGTAAGATTAGACAGGAACTTATGATATAACACAAACTGGCCTCTGTCATTGACTTGATTATAGAATGGTGAATTGCCTTTATTCCGATGAGATTTAGTTAGTTGATTTGATTTGGTATGGACATAAACACAGGTTAAAAAGTAATTTCTTTGCAGTCCCTATGGAGGGTATAAGAATACTTGTAGAATATTCCTGGTAGTAAAGAATCAGTTGATAGTTGGCACTAAGGAACCTGCTTCATGTCAATAATCTAATGATTGGAGTAATTATATGGTTTGGCCGCCTACATGTGAACTATTTGAATTCCCTACATGATTCCATCATTTATAAGAGTTCCATTTTTCAGACAAATCCATGGCCGTGTGAAAATAGACAATTCAGAATAGATTCCAAACACAAAACACATGTTAGATGCTTTTAAAATTGTTTAGTGTTCAAAGTCAGTTTTGATGAAATTGGTTTCTGATCTGTATTTACTAGTCAACTCAGATCTCAGCTCTAACTCATTAACATGATTTTCACCTATTAGAACAAATATTACAGAATAACTATTGATTACATTTAAGTTTTCAAAATAAAATGTCTGAGAAAAATGTACATATATAAAGGTAGGCCTATCTATTGTATTATTAGCCATCAATTATTGTTCATAATGGTGACAATTGTCTTAAATATCACCCTAGGAAAACTGCGTTTGTAAATTTTTATTGGTTTTGGTACTATTTGATCAATTTTAATCAAAAAACAATGGATGCGAGGCTAACTGGATTATTTCTATACAATTGTTGGAGATGAATATGATACTCAACCTTGTCATTGGCAGACATTTACTGTAATAAGAGGCAAAAATACTTGAAATCATGAAAAACTGTTGAAATAAAGATTTTTTCTGTGTACAAGATGACAATGTGACCTTCAGTGGACTTATGGCTGGTGTTAATCAATTCAAGGTTCAGTTATATTTATATGAAGTTTAGATTTTAAAATCTTTTTATTAAGGGATATTATCATCTGATTTTTGTTGTATTCTTACGTAATACTCTATTTTATACTTCAAAATCTCTGATCTAGTTTGTTACTTGAATAAACAATGATTTAATTCTATTATGAATAAAGTGAAAGTCTGCATTTTGAATAATGGCTAATGACATTGTTCTGACCAAATTCTCTTTTTGCACACTGAATGGTTCATTTCATATCATCAGATTCATCTGTTTCATTGATAATACAAGAAAATGGTTATTCTGTAAAGTGTCAATTGAAGTTATGATATAAATCTTACTGGTCAAGCCATAATTTAGTGGTCAATATCCCTTAATACAGTTTGTGCCCTTGACTCTTGTGTTTTGACAAGTAAATCTAATTTTGTATATAATAATCCCCTTCTAAATGCTTGTAGAGGAAATTGATGTGTAGGATTTCCGATATAGTTGTTAAGGCTATCAACAGACTTATGATCAAAACATGGCCTTCTTCTGATTACTGGTTATTGTTCAATGAGAATGTCTTATTTTTGGCAGAGAAATTATCTATTAATAAAATGTCGAGGGATTTTATTGTGATATTTTTGAATAATAGTGTTTCTTCATGTATGAAATATAATAAAGTAAATAATTTATTTACTCTTAAGGACAGTCATGTGATGTTTTACAATTCCAAATATCATGGGACTTACTGCTTATAGCCACTGGCTTACTTGCATTCTGAGACCCCTCAGTAAGTCAACTTCATGCCTGTTATTGGAAGGTTTTAAGATCTGATTATAATCTGTAAGGTACATTGTCTTTCACCAAACCTTACATCATGTTATATTTTGTAGATATTCTCTATAAGATGTGGTTTTGAAACTTTGTATTTGCTTTCTAGATAATAATTGCACTTGAGGGACAATAAGGATTATAACCAATAAGACAAGCTTATATTGATTGTTTAGTATAGTGATAATGAATGTCTTTATTTCCAATAACCATATTATATGACTGCTTAGATAGAATAAGTATAAAAAGTAAAATGTCAAGGCTTACTATATCATAGTATAAATTTAAAAGTCATTTGATGACATTCTTTGCATATCATGTTTATTTTTTATATGAGTCTGTAAAATGTCAAATCTGCAAAGTAAAAACAATAGATTTAAAAGTTTAATGACATTCCTGACATATGTATTTAATTAGGATTTGTATCAAGGATGCAAGGATTCATGCAGCATAGATTTTTTTTTACATTTCACAGCAGATTTTACTCTAAGACTAAAGGAACCAGATTAACTTCAAGTCCTTTTCTCTAATGTTATTTCATACATCTATTTCAGTTTAGAAATTGCTCCACAAAATGTTGATGTAAATGTACACCCTACTAAACATGAGGTACATTTTCTACATGAAGATAGTATCATTGAAGGTATTCAAGGTGCCATTGAAACTAAATTACTGGGGTCTAATACTTCTAGAACTTTCTTTACTCAAGTAAGTTGCATTTAATACATTACTTTGATAAATAATTAAAGTACTCTTTGAATATTCTGGTATTTTATTATAATTAGACCAAACTGTTGTTTTGTTCTTTCTTTGGATTCATTCTTTATTAACTGATGGATTTATTTTAGTTTATTAAGAATTGAATATTTGTAATATATTTCAGGCCTTGCTACCTGGTGCTGTACCATCTCTTCCAGACAATACAACTACAGACATAGATAGCACTGGTAATAATAGCTTATAGTTATCTACAGTGATTTTCAATCTTGTATAAGTAATAAGATTTAAAGCAGTATTATTTTTTGTTCTTTTTTGTAGAGATGTAATTCTTTTATCAGCATATCATATTATATATTACTGGATACATTGATATACTTTAGAGCTGAGTGTGACAAAGTTAGAGTTAGAATTAGATATTTCTTGATATATTCTAAGTGTGCATTACATTCGCAATTATATGGTATGAAAGAAAAAATCAGTCGGATATTTTTATCCTTTTTGAACAAGGATATCCATAGGATATACAGATAAAACAAACTTCAAACAAGTTTGTGAAAAAGGTCATACAAATGAAAATTTTCATATAATTAGATATTCTGCTTGCATCAGATCTTATTCTTTTGTGATTTTTTTTTATACCAGTGTGTGGCTTATTTCATTTTGGAATTTTGGAAAATTGCAAATTCTATTTTTATAAATAAAATGTTTTCTCTTTATACATTACTTTTAACAATACCTTGCAATTATTTGTGTTTGTACTGTGTTCAATAGGCACTAATGAGGAGAAAAAACTTTATGCACATCAAATGGTACGAACAGATAGTCGGGAGCAAAAAATAGATGCTTTTATAAGAATTGAAGGAAATAAGAAGTCTACCAATGCAGAAAATAAAAGGGATGAAGAAAATAGGTAATGAATTATTGATATTGTAGGAAGACATTAATTCAAACATCAAGCTTATAGTTTGATAGGTCAACAGGAAGCAATAAATGACAATTATTTTCTGATGCCATGTACTTAAAGTTTTTTCATTTTCATTGCCATCAATTTTGTCTCTTCTCTTTTTTTTTGTCTGAATAACAATAATAAAGGGGAAAATATTTGAAACTAGGCACCTGACTAGAATCAGATTGCAAACTTAGTAAAAGTAGTGTCTTAAACCAAATTACTGTTTTAAACCAGAAAGGCGTGATGTTTGGAAAGTAGCGTCTATTTTCTCTTCAACAATTTGCATTGAAAGAATGTTATATGTTATATAATAATATTGGCAGTTAAGTCACAGCTAATAAAATTAAGTGCAAAATTTATTGATGACTTTCACTATCACTCTATGGGCATGTGGAAAGTCTTAAAAAAGTGTTGCACTTTTAAGTAGAAAATATTAGTTTGATTATTCAGTGCTGTGTATTTGTATCTCTATCTCATGCTACCCACTATGTTCATCAGAGCAGCTCTTTTTTAAAATGGGGGTTAGCTTTTCAAAATTAGATTTTGTCATATGAGCAAAGTAAGTTTAGAAATTGATTCAAAATATAATGTTGACAGGAAGTTTGCAATAATTTTCTTCATGAAATTCTATTGGTCAATATTATCATTGCAATAAAAAGAGACAATAAGATTTCTTAATGGATATATGAATTTCTGGCAAGAAAAATATTAGCTTTCAGTATTAGTTTAGCTTACTATGATATATTTTTTAGATCCGGCAATGACGAAGCCAATCCCTCTACATCCACTGTAAAACCGGTCAAAAGAGATATAGGTCTAACAAGTATCAATAATCTTATAGAAGAATTTCAGAAAGGAACTAATCAAGGTACAGTATGTTATACAATAAATGATACTATAGGTACCACTTAGGTTGGGTTAAAATAAAATTGTGATGATATTCTGTGGTGTATAATAAACCCTCATTATGTCAATATTTGATGTGATTGTATGTGGTAAGAATTCACCTTATAGTAATCTTATAGTAAGTTAATATATCAGTTATAATAACAGTTATTTACAGAATAGCCCTTTCACTGTATGAAGAGATTGACACAAGTTAATTATAGTGTTTATCAAACAGGCTCAATAATGTTTCATGCTGAATCTTTAAAGGTAAAGGGTATATGTTTGTTATACCAAATTTTTGCCATCTGTATCACTTGTCAGAATGAACATTTGATGTCTGGTTTGTCTATGAGTTATGGGTAGTGTTAGTATTCAGGTCCACAATGTTCTAAATGCAAGTATTATTGTTAAATGATCAGTCATTTTATAAGATAGAATGTTGGAAAATGACAGAAATTTGAAAACAAATTAAATTTACATGCTATATATTATCGAACTGTCAAAATTGTATGAAAGTGCTGATCGATTAAAAAGTTTGAAATCTATACCTTAAATTTTATCTTCAAATAACACAAAGTTCTTACAATTTATTTCCAAAATAAGAGCCATTTAAATAGATTATGTCACACCATATGGATGTTGAATTAATGAACAGAGAAACTGAATTTAATATGGTTGTCAGTTAGCTAGAGAGTGATATTCTAACAGAATTCTATTTAATTTCTATAATGGCAAATGAGATGGTCTATAAAAAGTAAGATGGAATTAAAACGATGTTGCTAGAAGGCATTATTGTCAGTATAGTTATATAGTTATTGCTTTTCAGGAAGTATTATTCACCTATATAGATATAGGTAGTTTACTAGTATACCCTAAAACTATTTATCACTAAAATCATCAGTGTGGGCCTACACTAATTTGTTTTAGATAATATGATTTATATCCTCTAGGATAGTCTGTAAATGTGATATACTTCTTTAAGAAATCTGAATACCACTTAGAAAGAGTAAGCCAATTAGCCTTCCGAAATTTGTCTATTACGGTATCCATAACCCACAGGTCTTATCAGCTGGTTGAACAGATGATAACTAATATACAGTCTGTAATGTTAACAAATGAAAACACTAAATAAGTTACCCTTTAAGTTCTAAACAAAATATATTCAAGAATTCCATACATGCCATTGACAGAGCTTTTCTAGAGACTATTTAGTTTGTAGATTATTTTAGTTGCCAAGAAATGATTTTACATCAAATCATGCAGATTGAAGTAAAGGTTGCCGTATCCTTGACTGTACAAAAGTGTATTCTGTTTGCAGGGTTAAGGGAGTTGTTTCAGAATCATACATTTGTTGGTTGTGTGAATGAAGAACATGCCCTAGTTCAACATCAAACTAAACTGTATCTTATTAACACTACTAAATTAAGGTATGTCTTATTTTGTTATCATATATTTGTATAAGACGGGCAAGACTGCAGTTCACTAGAACACTTTAAATTTAAATAACTAAGCGTCAAATTTGAAATGTCATATATAGAGAGTCGAAGTTGATAATACTTAAATGCTTCTTGTGATATGATGTCATATGATTACTGACTAGCTAGAAACCACAAAATTATGTTCATAAAGAAAGACATAACACATATTTTTTTTATTTCAGTCGAGAACTGTTTTATCAAATTGCCCTAACAGATTTTAGTAATTTTGGAATTCTACGGCTGTCAGTAAGTATTTTTTAAACAGCCAGTTGGATTACTTAGATTACTTATTTTGACATGATTACATTTATAGTAGAAAAGTAATAGCCTATTTGGCACAGACCATTTCAATTCTCTAGTATGGACAAGCCACTGATATCAATATGAACATTTTGATCAAATCATTTTGAAAACGATATCAGTTCAATTGAGACGTTATGTTCATGCTTTTTGTTAAATCTTGTAATATTTCCAGGAAGCTGCACCAATTTATGATCTAGCCATGATGGCTTTAAATTCAGAAGAAAGTGGGTGGACAGAAAATGATGGACCAAAAGAAGGTCTAGCTAAATATATTGTTGATTTTTTACAAACTAAAGCTGAAATGTTGGAGGAATATTTTTCTATAGAGATAGATAAGGTTGGTACACTATAGGCCAATCAATTTAGTTCATCCATAAAACTGAATTCAAAATAAGATTTGATATCAAGTGTTGACTCTTTCTTGATAATTGGAAAGTTTAACATTATAATGGAATCCTGAATGGTCAAAAACACAGCAAGTTATTAAATTTTCAAATATTGTGTAGCTTTCAAGAACAAGAAGAAAATTCATTGCTGAAAGTATATAATGGGTTTGTTATTTCAGACTGGTAATTTATTAACATTACCTATGTTATTAGAGAATTATATTCCCATATTAGATGGTTTACCAATGTTTATATTACGCCTAGCAACAGAGGTATGTTACCATCAATACTATCAGTCATTTCAGGCCTAGATAATGTGGAGCCCTAAATTTTATACAATATGCTTGTTTGGTTCAAAAACCTGTTTTGTATTTTTAGTTGAATTTCTTTTACAAATGACCATACATTAGATAAATGTTGATGGAATTGAAATGAGACTGCTCTTCCAGGAACAAAGTCTGGAAATATTTGTATATGTCTCTTTTAATGCTCACTTCAGGTTAATTGGGATGAGGAAGAGGAATGTTTTAAAACTTTTGCTAAAGAAACAAGTGACTTTTATGCTGTCAGAAAATCAATATTTCCTTCAGATACAGTTGATCAGGTACAGTAGTTATAATCTACATTAAACTTACTGTAATGGATTGTTTGCTTTTATCAAAATTCAAGAGATTTTGTTTAAGCCATTGTTTCATTTGGAAACACTCTTGACAGATGTCGGTTATTCTCACAAAACTATTACTTTAATTTCCAGGATGGGGAAGAGAAAGAGAGTTGGAAATGGACTGTAGAGCATGTTATTTATCCAGCTATAAAATCTCAGTTACAACCACCAAATAAGTTCTCAGAAGACACCAGCATCTTACAGTTAGCCAATCTACCTGATCTTTATAAAGTGTTTGAAAGATGTTAAATCAAGAACCCACCTACGTTATTCATAGTCTGCACCAGTGTGTGACCTACTGCTCAGTCACTAGTGTTGAAACGGTTAATCAGTTAACCGATTTCGGGTAGTATTTCATGGTTAACCGGGTCTGATATGAGATAACTGGTTAACCGTCAATTTTATAAGAAGTAAAAAGAGAGCAATTTTGACAGAATTCGTCACTGTATGAGTCTTTAAGCTGTTTTCTTTAGTAAATAAACATCTCTTTATTGATTGAATAATTAAGATAAATAAATCAAGATGGGGTATCAATTATCAAAACACAAACGAGTTGCAAGAATTGTGGTCAAGATTATCAAGCCTTTTTTTTTTATATAAGTTCCACTAATTACTCGTTCTGGATAATCGCGTCACAATGGTCTTAGTTTGTCGACAGTCGCCGTGTGCACCGTTATGTTAATTAGGTTAAACAAATAAGCACTGTAATCATTATCAGACGTTCGGCACGTTTTATTGTATTGCGGAAATGTAACAGAGTGTTTTTTAAGCATTTTCTAGTGTTTTAATAAGTTTTGTTATTATTTTTTTATTTCAATCGGGTACAAGTTGCTTAGAATAAAACAGTTATAAAGATTGTATTACTTTTTAGTGACTCTCCTCTAATTGGCTGTTTGTTTCTTCTTGCCTGTCAATCAGCTTCAAGCTTATTAATATTCATGAGTACGGATTCATTAAAACGATAGTTTAATACCAGTTGTGGAACCAGTACACTGATTCGCGGCGACTTCAATGAGATACACTCATTACACTGACCCCACAACTGGTATAAAAACCTTTGATCTGTTAGAGAATATAGCAATGAGTGACAATGGCGCCAGTTCGTCTGAACTCTCTCAGGTCCGCTCGTAATCTTACATTGAAGCAGACGCTTTTTATAATCTTTAGTAATTAACCGGGATTAACCAGGTAACAAACGGTTATTGCCGATGATTACCTGGTTCGTAAAATTCACTAACCGTTTCAACACTATCAGTCACAATTATGTTCTGCGGTACAGCAACTATAGCAAAACAAAAATAGAAATATATGGAATAATTCACAATGTGATGGCAGTGAGATTTTTTAAATTAGGTTATCCATTATAATGGATTAATGAGAAACTGAAATATGATCTGAGAGGCTGTGAACAATATAGAATATTATGTTCTTCACAGACAATGTTTGTGAGGAAACAATCAGATTGTAAACTTTCTTATGAATATCAAAATTATTTTCCATTTTCAAATTAAATATTCATTATTATCATTTCATTTTTATACAACCACATGGATATGTGGACGTATATCACCATCATCAACACTTCTTGTGATAAATAAAACTGAATTATTTTTCAAACCAGCTGTCCCACCCCACCCAAATAAAAATAAATAAATATCAATATTTTATGCCCATATTGCCTTTTTGGGTATACATCCAGACTGTGTTAGTGGTAATGACTGTCATATTGTGTAAGATGACATGTCAAAATAGTACAATTTATTTCTACGCTAGAAACAGTAAATATTTTATACGACATTAGCGGATGTTATCAGAGTAACGACTCTGCAGAATTGTTTTACTTGATGATTGTATTGTGATTAGGTTCCAGGATAAATGCATTGATTACCATAACTGATTTTGATTTGATACAGGATAAATGGTTTCCAGACGTAATTGAATCAGATTAACTTTGGATAAAAACGACTCAAACTTTTTTCAAACTCAAAATTTTCTATTGCCAGTCTTTAAAAAATAAATAAGTGTCGAATGCATGTTTATTTACCCAATGATCACAATCAAACACACATTGTAGCTGTTGGATGAGTGTATTGATGAGAGGTAGAATTCCTTTAAAAAGCTGCTTACGTTTTATCAAAAGAATGAAGAGATTATGATTTAATGTTCTGAAAACCATGAGTAAAATTTAGAATGTGGGAGTTGAGTTGAACTTAAAAGGCACACTCTCAAACATGAAACACAATTGTCATAAAGACGTTATCATTCTCAAAGAATGGACATTATTATAACATCCACTAGTATTTTATCAAAAACTTTTTATATGATCTAACATTTCTTTTTTTTTTTATTTCTTTTTTATTTTTATTAGGACCATGTCCTTGTGTATTGGGCCTAATTCTGACCCATGTAAAATAAAGAGTTTATTATTATGATTATTATGTTTTATTTATAAAACCATATTCTTTCATCTACTGACAAACGTTATGATTTTATTCTAGACTGTAAGAGCTCCCATGCTTTATCAACCTGAAATATGTAAGAACTTATCTTAATATATACTTGTAGGCAAATTGGTCCTCCTTATTGGTAGTCTCTTGGCATGAAGAATACTTGATGCATTGGAGGACCATTTATCTTTGAGTAGGTTCTCAGACTCTGATATTCTATGCCATGTGGTTCCTACTCATGGACTAAACTTTAAGCATAGTTAAAACATTCATTATGACAATTTACTTGTTTCTGTTGTATTATTAGAAAGGAATGTATATCATGTAAGTTTTGAATCATTTTCATTAAGTAGTAGGCTTAATACTATTTTCTCAAAGGCCCTGTCCTAAAGATAGTAGGTGTAAAATCATCTATTTCTGACAGTCAAGTCTTAAACTGTTAATATTTTAAAGATTCTATGAAGTCATACTTGAATTCAGTCTTCACAAGCATTAGCTCACAACCAATATTCCAAATATGTTACATGAATTAAACAATACCTGAGATTGTGTATATTCATATTCCCATAAAGATGATAAAATAACATTAGATTGATCAACTCTCTGTTGATTACTAAGTTGTGATTGAACACGTTTACTGGCTTCTTCTTCACTTAAACTATTTCTTTCCATTAGTCTTCTCACTGCCTAAAATTAATATAAATTATTGTACTGAAAGGATGCAATTTATAATGGCATTAACAAACCTGAATGTAAATGACATGCATGTCAGTATGAAATTACTTAAAGCAACGATAACCAATAACAAGTTACATAGCTTTTGCATTAATGCTAACAATTATAAGTAAATTATGTTTGAAACATAGTATCGGTTACAAGGATTGTTTTCATTTGAACAGCGGAGAGATGAATTTAATTCCATTATGTTTTAAATACCACCAATTTAACCAATATTAAATGATATTGGTAGTTTCGTAATTTTTTGATACTAATACAGTAAAAACCTTAAAACCAGTATCCGACCAGGCTAACGTAAATTGCTAGTAGAATAGACTTCTCAAACAAAAACATTCCTAGTCATTTATTGGTCTATATAAAAGCATGAGAGTTGCGAGTTTCTAGAGGTTAATTAACTAAAGATTAGCCTCTTTGGGATGCCAGATTGCAGGTTTAGTCTGGTGCTGGTTTATTGAGTGTTCCTGTAGATCATTTAATTGATTTGTTCTGGACTTTTCAGATATGTAGGTTTACAGAGGATGCTATTTGGATGGGTTTTACTGTATGAACTTCTCTCTTAGTTTAGTTAACCAGATACATATACATAAGTTGCCATTACTATTAAGGAAGCAATATTAGGCAGCATTATCCAGAAAATTTTTATTGATTCAAACTCACTTCTGCTGGAGGAACTATAGTTGTCCACACTTCATGAACCATTTGATTCCAACTGGCTTCCAATAAAACAGCAGCATCTAATACTACCACTTTTATACCTTCTGAAAATAGATTTGCTGCTCACTACATGTATAGTTCTAGTTTTTGTTTCTGTTTTTTCTCTTTCTGACAAAGTTATGCATAAATCAAGTCCAGCTAAACTTTAAAGGGGCATTACGCAAAATTTTCATTTTTAAGATTTATATTAATCTAGATTTTGGTGTATAGTTTTCATAATCTTGATCAAATTTTTTTTTCGATCCAGAGAATGTTCTTTTGACAAAATGTTTAGAAACAAATGTTAGGGGCGTGTACATCAACGTTTCATACTGAATTACTCTCAAAGTAATACCTATAACCCACTGTTCACTGACCAGGGTTGGGAAGGATAATAGAACTTCCTGTTTGTTAATTGAAAATACACAGAATTTTATTACTTACAGTCACCAGTACTGACAAACTATATATATATATATATATCTGATAAGAGAAGCTGTAAATAACCTGGCAGTAACAAATGGTCAAGTTATATGGAATCTTGTCCAGCTTCCATTATATTCTTGAGACTAGTGAGTTATCAGGAATGAAAGTAGAAACCATACAACAATGCCAAGACCAAGTTCTCATTTTTTTACCTTGTTTATATTTTTCAATCTTTGCCTCAGCTAATTTGGCTATTTCTGGCCACACAATTCCATTTAGTTTCTCTAGTTGAGCCTTGAAGGTAACATGAAACTTAATTTAATTTAATGTATGAATGGTTTGGCTTCTGCGATATGAAACCTAAATGGAAGACCCACAATTTACAGCTACTAGAAAGAAGCAGGCAAATACATGACTAAAAGAATGACATTACTCAAAAACTGTGACAAAGTATAATATAGTTGATAACATCCAGATTCAGATACTTCGCATGTGATGTTTTGGTAATTTATCCCTCCACTTAACATGTTTTTTTAAATCAGTTGAAAACCAATGAAGCTATTGCATTTCACTGTGGAGATTACAAGAGTTTACATTAAGAGGGGGGGGGGGATTTTAAAAATGTTGCAAACTGTCCGACTTCATTTTTGATCATTTACGATCTTTAATAAGTATTGATCCATTTAAGAAATGTATTGAAATACCTTGTTCGAGAATACAATGGGAGCTAACTTCTTTCTATCTATTTCTCCAGTATCTGTTAATATTTCTTTACCAAAGTGATCTATTATAGCTTCATAGGCTACAGTTTTCTTTTGATATGCTTTATGGCCTGAAAATATAAGAATTGAAAAAAATAATAAGAGATTTTCTTGTGTTTGTTGATGTATTCTTGACACTTTAAGTTATACTTGCTCAATAATGATTTCACTATCTGACATTTGTCATTCATATGATCCCAGAAAAACATGAAAAATCAACATGACAATATTGCAAAACCCTATTGGGCTTTTAAGATATTAATTTTACATACCTAATTTATCACAATCAACTATACCAGCACCTATTTTCTCTAATTTCTTACAAATAGTTGATTTACCACTACATGTTCCACCAGTTAATCCAATACGATATGGTGTAGCAGGTATATTAGGGCATGGCTGGTAAATTAATAAATTCATATCATGAATTAATAAAAGAAAGACTTTTTCACACTATTACAATAGGATTATATTGTAAGGTTATTTTGATGTGCTCCTATCATTAGAGATCTATACTCATCTTACTCATTGAAAGCCTCCAAGAAAAAATATATTAAAGATTCTAGTAGTGTTACTTACTTGGACAGGATGAAACAATGTGCCTAGCAATCTTCTACGTAGTGATGAAGAACTAACTTTAGTATCTTCACTAGCTGAATGACAAGGATCCTCCAACATATAGATTACTTCTTCTTCTAATTCTTTCATACCCTGAAATAATAATCACTTATAAAGATTTGCTTGACCAGCGCTCTAATAGAGTTCTATTTCCAAGTAGTTATTAACATTCTAACAGGCACTGATGAGTGGTATAAGCAATAATTGGGGAATAATTGTTGCTCTTCATATATATATATTAAATGATTACTTTTGATTATTTTTACAAAAGCATTCACTATAAAACAATATGTTTTGCTGTGAGACATTGTAATATAAAACACAAACCCTCTTCTTCCTCTCTTCATTGATCATAGCACCACCTTTTTTAACTTCTTCTGACAATACAATCATTTCAATATTAGGGTCAGTAATAGTTGGTCCATAAGCATCATGTATAGGTACTACATGAGCTTCAATTTGAGGTTTAATATCAATAATAAATTTCCTCACACAGTCTTGTCTCTCTTCAATAGCTTGAATTAACTCTACTAGCACCTTTTCTGAAAAAACAATGGACCAATGATCTAAAATGATCCAATGATTTAGACATAATTTCTTAATTAGCCGCTATGTGGCTTGAAAATCAGAAATTTTCAGAAAAAGATGTACAGATCATTGCATTGAGGAGATTTTACCAATTCTTGTTTTATTTTCAAATAGGCACAGCTTGTAGAATATAGAGTATTATTTAATTGTTTACTGTTTCAACTTGACAAATGTTTTTTAAAAAGTTCCACTTGTAATTGGTATCTGAAACAGGACTTACTTTTATTCATGTCTCCATCACTAACTCCAACTGTTAACTTTTTCTCACATAGCAGACAACCTTCACTCAATAAAACTTTATGGCCAACGTGTAATCGATCAAACGTTCCACCCAGAGCTACATGATCATATGTCTTCATTGAACTTACTTCTGTTTTGACTTCATTTGTCTTTTCCTCAGTAGAAAATGTTTTCAGATTGTGAACTGGGATATTACTCAATTCATTCAAGTAATGCTTCTGAACATTTTTCAAAATTTCTGGATGATTTGCTTCAGTATCATCTAAAACAACAGTGTCATATCCTTTTAGAAGTTTGTGGGTTTGATTAGGGTTCAGTGATGAGTTAGAAACATGTCCTAATAATATGCAGACATCTAAGCCGAGACAAAGTGCAGCAGTTTTGGAATAGAAATCCTGAATGTAAGTCTGCAACTCTCTACTACATGGTACCTTAGCAACTTTCCATTCTAAAGTTTGCTTTGGAACAGGTGGTTGAATGTGAACATACAAAGTTTCTTTGATTATCTGTGAGACTTCTGTGAGGATTGCAGGAATATATTTTTGTGATGTAGATAATGGTTGAGATAGAATCAATAATCCTGCTCTGTACATCTTCATGTGGCAATCTTGTGCTTTCTGAAAACAACATTATTACTGTAATCTTGCATTATGTTTTTTCTTGCTATGAGTGTAGCCTAGGCAATATTTTGACATAAACCAAAAATTTACCCTGAGTGTCCTGACAATAAAACAAATCCTGTCCAACAAAACATAACAAAGAATTTCATATGCTAGTGCTGAAGAGACTAATAAAAAGTTAAGGGATCTGAAGTACATTACATCATAAGTGACATAAGTATTAGTTAGTGAAAATAACCTGGGGCTAATGTTATTTTTTTGGAAAAATAGATTTGTATAATATTGTATTGTATACTGTAAAGCCTACTCTCTGACTACATGTATTGACCCTTGAATTGAGTTTTTTCTCTCATTTCATAAATATTCAAAATAAAATTATACTGTATACCATTTCTCTTGGATTGTCTTCATGTCTCTACACATATGTGGTTCAGTGATTTTCTTTTTTAAAATAGACACACTTCCTACCACAAAATTCACTTGAAAATGACTTTCTTTACAGACTGAAAATTCCCCTCTGTAAAATCATATTTACAATTAATAACCTTTTCAGTGGTTGACATTTTAATCAACCCAAAGGCAATCCAAGGCTTTTCAGTAGTACTTTGTAATTGATATTTCAATTCATAGGGAAATGATTGCCAAAATTCAATTCAAAAACATTGTAGACAGAGAGGGCACTGTTGCTTGTGCCGAGAAGAGAATAGTAGGCTACTAGTATGAGCATAGCTAATGTTCAGATAATTTCTGCTTGGTTATTACGGTAATCTACTCAGACTCAGAGACCTACAGTTTTCATATCCAAAGACTTACCATCTGTTAATACACTTTGGATTGAAATTACATAGTAGATAGTCCAATTGGTTGAGGTTGACATTTCATAGACACCTATTAGCCTAGAGAGCACTGCATTAATTCAGCCCCCTATGTCTTCTAAAAGGAGTGTCAATGTCAAGCATATGTTTAAGACAAAAGTAAATGAAAATGCTACCTTAATTCCTTCTATGTAAGTGTAAGAATCGAGAGATAATTATTGTGTATTTTCGGTTAATGAAATTCATTACTTTGACAGGAAGATACGGCTCTGGGAAAGAAAATGAAAAGTAGCTGTGGTCTTGAATCTCAAATGATGACAATTACCCCCCTTATGTAAACAAGAAACATGGCGGAGTTTTTGAACAAACCTGAAGATTTTATCAATTCTGGCCAGTCTGGTGAGAAATTCAAATGATTCTTTATCACTAATATCAATTGATTACTTGTTGAATATCCAGTAAATTAGCACAAAATTTCACGCAGATTGTCATTGAATACTGCGGTTGTTTTGCAATGAAATTTGCATGCATGAGCAGACTTGTTTTTTCTCAATAATAAAGTACAGTGGTGTAACTTATTTTCGTGAATATAAGAGTAACCAACTAGACAACGGCAAAAAGTCCGTCACCTATTTTCGTGTACAATGTTTAATCTACAAATGAGTCGAAAAGAACATGCTGTGTGCATACCCAGTGGTATAATTTACTTCTAGCATTTATCTTTAATAATATTTCATTATACAGTCAATTAACCTAATTTCGTGCCAACCTATTTTTTGTGCATTTCCGGAAATAATTATAGTCAAGTAACCTAATTTTGTGGAAACCTATTATTCGTGGATTTCGGGAAAGGATTAATAATTTACATGAGCGACCTTGTGCGACCTCCGCATTAGTTTGTTTGATAAACATGGGTTTTCTCTACAATATCAGCTAGTAGAATGAATCCAGTAGTTTCAAGCAAGGTAAAATGTATAAATGTATACATTGACAAATACAAAATGGCAGATTTCAGTTGTTACCGAACGCCACCATTTTTTATCAGCCGAATTTCCTTGTAATCCCAAGCGGTAATCAGAATTCCAAGTGTCCTCTTCTAGAATGTAGTCCAACGAATTCAAGAAAGGTAAAATGTATGATTTAAAAAAAAGAAAAAGATACGTAGTGTGATTTATTGCTAAAAGTGAATGAAACAACATTAGAATATGGTCCACATTGTGTTTCATAAAATTTTTCTGCTGACACGGAAACTGCTATTTGACAACGTGACTTCATCCGTTGGACTACATTCTAGCAGATGACACTTAGAATTCCAATTACAGCTTGGGATTATAAGGAAATTTGGCCGATAAAAAAATTGTGATCCTTGTTAATAACTGAAATCGGTCGTTTTGTATTTGTCAAAGTATACATTAATACATTTTACCTTGCTTGAAACTACTGGATTCATTCTGCTAGCTGACATTGTACAAATAACCCATGTTTATCAAAGCAAGCTAATGCGATAGAAGCAATTTTGTAAAAAAACAGGATTCAACACCGAATTTTGTCAAAATTAAAAAAGTCTGTGTAGAATTAGGTCCAACGAATGAAGTCACATGATCAACTAGCGGATTCCGTGTCATCAGAAAAAATTCTATGGGGCACAATAAGAGCCATATTCTTATGTTGTTTCAGTGACTTTTAGTAATAAATTACTCTTACGTTTTACTTATATTATTTTGTCAATCACTATTTTTATACGCCCACGTGGAAATATGGACGTATATTGCCGTCGCCCCTTTCCGTCCATCCGTCCGTCCGTCCGTTCACATTTCTTGTAGGCACGATAGAGGCTACAGTTTTTATCCCATCTTGATGAAACTTGGTATGCATGTATATATTGATGATATCTCGGACAAGTTCAAAATTGGTAATATCCGGAAGAAAGGTTTCAGAGTTATTGCCCTTGACTTAGTAAAACGCGTCAAATTTGCCTTGTAGCCACGTTAGAGACTACAGTTTTTGTCCGATCTTCATGAAACTTGGTATGTATGTATATATTGATGAGATCTCAGTCAAGTTCGAAAATGGTAATAATCGGATGAATTGTTTCAGAGTTATTGCCCTTGACTTAGTATAAACGCGTCAAATTTGGCTTGTAGGCATGATAGAGATTACAGTTTTTATCATATCTTGATGAAACTTGGTATGCATCTATATATTGATGAGATCTCGATCATGTTCAGAATTGGTAATAATCGAGTGAACGGTTTCAGAGTTATTGCCCTTGACTTTTGGCTTGTAGGCACGATAGAGACTACAGTTTTTATCTGATCTTGATGAAACTAGATATTCATATAATATATTGATGTTAGATGTTGATATCAAGTTAGATATTGGTAATATTCGGATTATGAACAGTTTCAGAGCTATTGCCCTTGTGTGCACAGTGATGAGACATTATTCATGTTTGAATGTGATGATGATTTGATGAACTGTTTCAGGTTTTTGTCTCGACTTATAGATGATTTTACGATTATTTGAAAATTTATTATTAAGCCACAAAAGATTTTGTTATCATTTCTGACAGCTGGTAGTGGGCATATGTTACCTTGCATGGCAAGCTATCTTTTTATTTTTAATCATTGTTCTTTGTCATTAGTTAAAATGAAATATTATTAAAGATAAATACTAAGAAATCAGAATGATGCCGCTGGGTATCCATAAACGTTTTTTTCTCGACTTCTTTATAGATCAACCATTGTACACACACATTGTTACTCATGAAATATGGGTCAGGGAGGCGGATTAAGAAAGAAATTCGAAACATACTAAAATATCTGAAGAAACATCTACGACATATCAAAATGTTTCTATTTTTTGATATTGACAAAATTGAGTGTTGAATCCTTATATGCATCAAAGTAGGTTCCACCATGGTTTTAGACCATGGTTTTAGACCATGGTTTTATCAGTAGCCTATAAGCTTAAGTAAGATTTGCCAAATTTTTAAAAGATAAGTTTAGATTAATTCAGAAATCAAGTTAATTTTTTACAGAAATGGCATCAGGTTATCCAGAATTAATACCACCTTCTATGTTTCAATCTAATCAGCCACCACCTGATCCATGGCAAGGCTTAGCTCAAGTCTCCAAAGAAGTTTCGGAGTTGAGAAAAGAAACCAAAAAATTACGGTAGGTTCATAATGCTTCCAATGAGATGTCGTTATTTGTTTAGGAACTTTTGTCTTGAATACTATAATGAGCATAGTGACATTTCAGATTAACATCAACTAAACTTAGATCCATTTTTCGTTTCTTTTTTTTTTTTTTTTTAGTTTTTATTTTTAAGACCAGAGTCTTGAACATTTGTCAAATGACACAACCTGATGACATTTGCTTTAACCAAATCAATCAAATTTAACAGGGTCAATTTGGAACATCCAATGAAAAGGCGTGTTTTCTATATCCACTTTCAGTGGACTTGATTAACTAGTCCATGGCTCCTGAAAATAAACCTTTTGATCGCGTCAAAACAAATATATTTTTTAGAGCGCTTACAAGCAAATGTTGATGGACGGACTGACGGACGGACAAGGGTGCCGACAATATACGTCCACATAGAGAGATGTGGGCATATAAAAATGAAAGGAAAGTTTATAATTTTAATTAGACTGAGATTAACATATTTCAAATTTTTATTTTTAGCAGTAGTGAATCTACAGATAGCTCAAGCTGTAAAAAACAAAATCAGGTATATACCACCCTATAGAAGACATTAGCCAGGCTTGGTCGAATTTTAACATAGAATTTATATTTTATATAAATATTCCTTCATAATGCCATTAGAAATCTAAAGCTCTAATTCTAGGCCAACTATCTTCAAATGGATGTTTTTGTTTTTTACATTATGCACATTTCTATTTCAGCCTGGAATTATAGACTATAACAGAAGGTACCCTGCCAATGATGAATTTAAATATGCTAATGAGTTAATAAGTCGTCAAGCTAATGAGTTATCAGAGTTAAAATCAGAAATAAGAAATTTGAATCAAAAGTATGATGATGAAAAGAGGCATTTTGAGAGAGAACTGGTTGAAAAAGACAGAGAGTCAAAGTTAAGAGTTTCTTCCCTTGAAGACTTATTGACACAGAAAGAAGATCAGTATGACAGAGAGGTAGGTATGGAGGATTGAAAGTGGGTTTTAAATTTTCCTTAACCTGTGCATACTTAAGGTTACTCTCAAGGGCTTGAAATTCGGTTTTAAGTGAAAGTTTAGGTGTTAACACAACATTTATGTCATATCATGTTTTGGAGCTGGAAAATCTGTGAATTTGTAATATCACAAAATCATGATGATCTGAGTTAAAAATCAGAAGTTGTTAATATAAAGTTTTTCACTTGTATGTTCAAATACGTATGGTAAACTGTTCTGTCTGGTAGCTTATGTTTTTAAAGAATAAAAATTTCAGAACTGTCTCTAATCATGTAAGCTTACACATGGATTTTTTTAGGTTGATAGACTGAGTTATGAACATGAACAAACAACAGATAAATTAACAGATAAAATAAACTCTCTAACACAGGAGTTAGATTTATTACATGTCAAGAATAACAGACAAATGAAAGAACTTACTGATAGAATACAGACGTTAGAAGAGGAAAAGAATTCAATCACAAATCAACTAAACAATAACCTAAGGTATTGTAAATTGAAGTATAGACATTAGAAGATGAATATTTCATCTCAGTCCAATTTTTATGATTGGATATTAGCTACATTGTGCTAAGGTATGAAGTATACTGGTTCTTAATTTTTCAGAGAAAAAGAAAATGAAGTAGAAAGTCTTACAAAACAAGTACACCAATTAAAATCTTATATTGGGGAAACAGAAAAATCTCATCGTCCAACTCAAGTTTGGAGAAAAGAAAATGAAACTTTGATGAATAAGTTACAGGTAATTTGAGATATTCTTGAATCAGTGTTTTATGTTTGACTATAGCTTAGACAGGAACGATTCCTACAATGAAGATAAATCGTAAGTACTATTTTTCCTAGTCAATTATTGTACATATTTTCATTTCAGACATGTGAAGCTGAACAAGAAAATTTAAAATCTAAAAATGAATTAACTAATGTTAGGTTATCAGCTATGGGTGAGATATTAGCAGTTCAAGAAGCTGATATATCAAAGGTAGCACAGCAAATGCTTTTTAAAATGTTTTACATTCTATGGGTGAAATTATAATCAATGTCTGTCATAAGTAATGAAAAGAAAATTAGAAATCTCTTAGAGAAAGATCAATGATTGTTTTAGATATGTGTAAATTATTGAGATGTGAACTGTTTTTATAGGCCCACATCTCTCTGTGGACCTGTGGACGTATATTGTTGGCACCCCTGTCCGTCCAGCAGTCCGTTGGTCCGACAACATTTGCTTGTAAACGCTCTAAAAACTAGATTTTTTGATGGAATCATATGAAATTCGGTATGTTTATACATATTCATGAAATGAAGGTCAAGTTCGAATTTTAGCTATTTTTAGAAGCAGAGTTATTGCCCTTGCCCCAAAATCTTGAATATGCTATTACTCTCTTAGTTTTGAACCAATTTTGATGAAACTTAAAATGGATGTTTCGTTTTTACCATCTGCATGCCGTGAAGGGCGTATATGGCTGTGGTCCACTATCTTAATACTTTTAATGATCTAACTGAAGATTTAACCAACCAAACAACATACAAATAGACAAAAAAAGTTGTGTTAGAACAACATCAAGTTGAAATTATACTTTCATTTAAAACCTATATCTAATTTTTCAGATGATAAATAAAATTTCCTTTTCATATTTCAGAGTAAAATTGATGGTCATGACAAAAAGAATCTAGAAAATATTTTACTAACAAGGTATACAATATATTCTACTTCATGGCTTAATGTCTTTAAGTTTTGAGACACAAGATCTGGATGTTTCCTTTAATTTATTTTCCAGTCATGTGCAGTAACATACCGCAATCACCAGCTTAAGGAGTGAACATTTCACAACTTATTCACTATGCTAGGGCTTGTCCTATTTAGGAGGACTTCCTAGCTAGAGGTCAGGTATTAACTTTGAAATTGGTGAAATAGGGTTACATGACACAAATGTCATGTAGAAAATTTTATGGTCACTGATTGTATGGTCCTTGACAAATACATCTGCTTCTTGCATTTTGGCTGATTTGTTTGGTCAGGCATAAATTGATCTGGTTTTATCTTATGATTTTTACCATTGTCCTAGTGGAGGGTGCGAATCAGAGCATGATTACTCTCTTTGAAACAACACAAAGACTTATCTTTGGAGCAGTCCAATACTATACAATTGATTGATGAAATTTTCATGCTTGTACGGATTCACATCAAGGAACAATATTTGATTTCTTTATGTAATGATTTTTTTATATTGAGAATTTTAGATGGAGAGAAAAGGTGTTTAGATTAATGGTACAGAATAAATCCAATGAAATAAATATGAAGAAATCTGATAGTGATTGGAAAAATAAATACTGTAATTTATCAGAGGAATTGACGTCTGCTAGACATGAAATTGAAGTGTTGAAATTCCAGAATTCTGAGAAAACTGCTCAAATAGATTTAGAGAAAATGAATACTAAGGTAAATAACATGATTTTATGAAATAGGGTGTTAATAAAATTAATTATTTGAATAAGTAAACTTAATTCTAAGAATTCTGTTATCACCATGGTACCAATGTGTAAGATTTCAGGTACTTGTATTCCATATTCACATGATATTTCCAGAATGTGTTAGATGAATTATCAACTACACAGCAGGTTGCTGTATGTCTGGATAATCAACTAACAGAAAATACTGGAAATATGGAGCTACTTAAATCAGTTGCTGAAAGGTTAGTTTTAATCAAGTTGTATATTTCACTGTTTTCAAAATAATTGTGAAAACTTTTCATAATAATTAATACGGTCAATATTTTCAGATCTTTGAAATTGACAAGTGTAAAATGTATTAATATATTTGTTTGTATAATGTAGTTGTGTTGTATTACAGTTTAGATAAAAAACTAAATACCACCATGAAGAAGATCTCTACATCCTTATCAGTATTAAAATCATATGGTGATAGAATTAGTTTTGCTAGTGGTAGAGTGGAATTATTACAAGGTCAGTGACACTCTCTTGTCAGGTTCATGTTAAATCAAAATTCTTTGAGGCTTTATCCAAGTTTAGTTAAGTGTATATTTCAAAATGTTAATCAATGCTTTTGGTGGTGCAGATAGTTCATAATGGTAATTATGGCAGAGTGATTTGGATTAAGATGAATATGCTTGCTAACTTTATGATCTTGAATAGCACGGAAGCTGGTTAGCCTTATGTACCTTTCGAATAAACATCTAGTTTGTTTGTTTAATCATAGCTTCCTTACATCTAATTGTTACTTATTATTTTTCTATATATAATGTTAGGCTTGTTATATTATTCATTTCTCTTGATAACGTTGCCTGTATGAGCATGTGAAACGTTGAGTTGATAAATACAGAAATAGTATATCCATATATCTTGTGCTTCTTTAAGCATCTAAGGCAGTTTATGTTGAAGTTCTGCTTCAGTTGGAGATTGCTTTTACATGCAAATTTGCAAAAGTTGATTTATTTTCAGTCTTATTATTCAGTCAATAATTGCTGTGAATCAGATCATCATTTTTAATTACTTTTAACTTCAGGTCAGTTTGCTAGGAAAGAAGCATTGAGAAAATTAGACAGTAAGACACAGTCTATGAAGGCTCCATTGGAAGATGAAATGTCCAGGTATATATATACCGGTATATTGATGTTTAAACTTATCGGACAAAAAAGCCTTCTCGTCGAAAAATGTTTAAGGGTCATTTTTTCATAATGCTTACTCTTCTTTTAAAAATAATTTGCACCTGTTCTTTGCACTATGGATATTCAAAACCATCAGAATGTTGTTTTATGATCATATTGTAAAGTTAATAAAGCTTTCAGGAATCTTGGTAAAGTGATAACCATGATTTATATTTTCAGTGAAAGTCATATTAAAACAGAGTTAGAGAAAGTAACAAAAGAAAGAGATTATGTTACAAGTCAATTAAAACAAGTATCAGAATTATTGAATGATAGATTAGCTGATACCAAACAACAATGTATGTATTTGACTGTTTGTTATATCAATATTCAGTTAATAAGGTGGAAAGAGGGTATTAAAATGGGTTGACTTTTCTCTAACACTGACTTTTATGGAAACAGACTTTTGTTGTCTTGAATGTGCTTGCGAAGTTACCCAACAAGCGAGTTTGGTAACGGTATTCTAAAAGAAGCCGTCACTAAATACACCATGCAGTATTGGAGAATGACACTTATCCGAAGAGATTGAGGTGCCCCATCATCCTTGTTCAGTCTGTTAATTTTTATTTTCAATCTGAATTTGAACATTGAAAAGATGGGTGAAGATTTTTTTTTTTTGCAAATTTTGGGGAATTAGAGTTTTGAAACTTCACTTTCATTTAATCCTGAATCATTATAGATGAAGATGAAATCATAAGATTAAAGAAGTCAGTAGAAGATTTAGAACTTTGTCTACAGCAAAAATCAAGGGTAGGTGTATTAGAGGTATATCATTAGAATATGAAGTTAAGTTTAAGAGGATCTTGTTGAATGTTGAATATAACTATTTGGGGAAAGATTTACTGGTTTGCTTTTTGAAACAAGTTGAGGTCAGATTAATGAACGATTAGATTCAACACATATTTGAAATCTAGCGCCAATATTACAAATTTGAATTCATGGGTATATATAATCAACATAGCTAATTTCTGCTTTAATTTAAATTATTTTATGTTTTGTAAGTTGTGTGAGAATTTAGAAGAGAAAATAGAAGAGAAAGATAATGAATTAGAAGATCTGACAGAAAGAGTGATAGTTTAAGTAAAGAAATAGGTCGACAGAAAGCTCTTACAGAACAAGGTATGCATAAATGGTGATTATTGAAAATCAAATGTCTTGTTGAAAAGTTGATAATTTGGTGAAAATTTAAAGAATGTTCATATCAGTTAAAAAAGATCATTTCAGTAGAGATAAAAAGTCAATTTTTGTAGCTGAGACACAAATATTATCTTAATAATTTGAATTTCATACTTGTCTAAATTTCAGCCATTGAAAATGAGAAAGAAATAGAAAAAGAGAAATATAGAAGTGATATGATTGAAATGGAGAAACAAGTCAATCAAGCTAAAAGAGAACAAACCAAAGCAGGTATGACAAGCCAATAATCCAAAACACAGAACTTCTATGACATGAAAACAATTGATGTGTATTCTGTGGGTAGTTTCTGCAGAAAATGATAAGAATACTGCTTGATGATCGAGACTAGATCATAATGATCTCGGTTTTGAACAACCTTTTATGTTGTATATATCTGTATCTTAATACCATATACCAATAGAAATCGATAGGACCATTACTCTTATTTCTTGTTTCTTAAATTGATCTGCTTTTCAGCTTGTATTGGCTTTCTAGCATGTATTGTCTTTCTAGCTACGTAAAAAAATATCTCTGTAGAATAAAAATCTTATACAGTAGTTATCCACTCAAATTTTTAAAGAAATCCATCATTTAGTTTATCAGCAGGTTTCTTTTTTCAGTGGTTTCCTTACGACAGTTAGAGAAACAAGGTTTAAGAGAGAAGGAAAGGTTAAATGAACAAATAAAAATATCTGAAAATCATTATACAAAAGAAATTGATAAATTAAGTGAACAGTTAAAAACTATAGAAAAAGAACGCAATTTGATGATGGTATGGTATATTATTTTTGAACACCAGATTTCAATGTTCTCCTCAATGTGGTATTTTCACTAAGCTTCTATCTTTCGCATTTTTAAGCAACTTTCAGCCTGTAAAAAAATAAAAATGATTCAAAAGTTATTATTTTCAGTCTATCTGGCCTATCAGCACTAAAACATAGTCAGGAACAGAAATGTATTCAAACCCTCTTCTTGGTTACTGTTTGTTTTCATAGGCAACTTTACGTCAAGAAGGTTTACTGAATAAGTATAAGCAGGACAGGGGAGAGCCAATTACGTTAGACGTAACAGATGACACAGTTGAGGACTCGATCAAATCATCTCTATCACAACAAATCAAGTCAGACCATACAGAGCCAACCAATGACCTGACAGCATTAGGTATTCAAATTTTTGTGTTTATTCATTTCTATTCTTAATGGAAATTCAAAACAGTTGGAAGGCAATATGAAGCAATTTTTCCTTATCATAGAAAAATGTGACTTTGTAGTAGTCACTTATTCTGTCTAAAGTGAAAACTTTTTATCACCATCAATGTACAACACTAAAGGATACCTTACTTGGTCTGTATTTATTTAAAGTTTCAGAAAGTAAAGAAGAAGAAATGAACAGTGTCATAAATGATTTGAAATCATTAGCAGCTGTTATAGATGATAATAGTTCAGACTCAGATGAGAGCAGTGTACATCTTCCATCATCATAATCATCATTATATAATATATATCTATCAGCTGTTGTAGAAAACCTCACCTGTAGTCCTCATCTTCTGTTGAGGCAATAGTTTTATCAGGCCTATATTAGCTGCTTAATATGATAATAGCTTATAACATACCAGCAATTGAACATCTTAAAGAGATTGAAAAGAGGTTTTCAAGCCTTTTATACGGCCACATGCATGAAATGAGGGGCGTATATTGCCATCACCCATGTCCGTCCGTCCACAATTACTCGTAAACACTCTGCAAGATACAATTCTTGACGGATTTTGAAAAAACTTGGTATGAGTGTTCGTAATCACCCAAGGATGAACCCTATTGAAAATCAGAAGAATCGAAAAATATTTAGTATAAGTTATTGCCCTTGTTCTTGATAACGCGTTCAATTTTTAGCTCGTAAGCAGTCTAGAAGGCCCAATTCTTGACAGATTTTGATATTATTATTCAGTATCGCCTCAAAGCTGCCAGTGGGCCTATATTATCTTGCCTGTTAAGCTATCTTATCATAAATAAAGGATAATTAGTACACTGATTTGCACTTAATATCATACTCTTCTATTCTGTTAAAACTAAGGTGAAGCAAAATGTGAATGAGTTGGTTCACATTTGGCTTGTGCTCACTCTACAGGCTACAAACAATGATTTGTACTTGCAATCAAAGCTGCTGGTGGGCGTATCTTTTTATATAAATGTACTATCAGTTGTTAATAGTAGATTTTACACATGAAGGCGAAGCTGTTAAAGATTGGTCCCTGTATTCATTTATTCATAAAAAATGAGTTATCAGGGGCTAGCCTCAACAGCAACTTTCAGTTAAGATTTAATGATGAATTTGTAAAATGGCATACCATATAAATAGCTGTCCATGTTTATTCTGTGATTGTAAATTATTATTTTTGTAATATAGAGTATAAGAATAGTGCTATAATCCTGTGTTCCTTTGATGAATTTTACTTTCTACAACTGTCTTATTGTATTATTTCACTTGATTTCATTGGTCTTCAGATGAACGGCTGATACTGACAGAACTTGAATGGACTGGCTGAGGAAGGCAACAAAAAAACCAATGTTACATGATAACATTCAACAATTTATTGTAAATCGGTAGTAGGAATACAAAATAACAGATATGTCAATTAACAGTTGAACAAACTCAGACTATACCATACTGGAAAATTTTATCAAAGATGTTTCAGTCAGTGGTTAAATTCACAAGAATAGCATTCAGGGTAATTATCTTGCCTCAGCAAATGCCATTTCCCAAACAAATATAACAGTGAAATATATATCAGTAGCTTTCTTAAATTGTTACTGTACCACAAATATAACAAATAACAATATTAGCTATGTTGATTCTCAGAAAGGAATGCCGAGTTGACACACCCTATTGCAAGTGATGCGGTTGTTTTTTCTCTTATTTACAGACGGCTTCCACAATACATCATATATGCATTTATTGTGTTCTTATAAATTCCTTGGTATAATCTAATTGTTGTATTTATACAAGTATTGAATATTAATAAATAATCATCTTACATGATCTAGATATATTGACATAACCCAGAGAGCTCTTTGTTTTATACAAAATTAATCATACCAAATAAATATATTTGCAATTACATGACTTCTTTAATGAATATACAAAAATAACATTCAGTCAAAAAGTGGTAGTTACATCTTGACACATTTATAAGAAACAATGAATGTTCACACCTTGTTAACTTAATAATAAACTGATAAAAGTTATAGATCATATTACATAAATATGTGATGAAAAATATTCAACTTTTGTTTAAGTGATTATCTCGACCTATGCCGGGATTGAATCCTGGACCCTCAGGTTAGCGAGCAAGCGTCTAACCCGCTGAGCCACCGCGGCTCCAGGCGAATAAGAGCCAGTAGATATACCTGGTGTCAAATATAACATAACAGGATCCTTATATAATCCGATAAATCCAAAAAACTTAGTAATTATCCATAAATATGCAATTAACTGATGAATATATACTCATATTGAATATTTTGAGAACTTAAATTTTATGTTCATTCTAAGACGTACTATCACTTTAATGGATAATACAAAAAAAGAACCGAGAAAATAATAAAATTCATTGCTACCACTTGATACAATGTATACGTTCGTTGATTCCAAAGCACTTCATCTAAATAATTGCAACATATATGCATGTAGTAAAATTGACTGATATTATTACCAGTACCTTAATATTGTCCTTGAAATTCACCTGTCATAGCTACATAGAACGCGTATTTGATAAACCTTTTAAGTTTCAAATCACCATTCAAGCTCATGGCTTTAGGTAATAGCTTAGATTGGAGACTAGAGCTGAATATTAAGATTTGCTGACAAATTTTACACTTGTTTTAGATTGGTTATAGCGTTTACGATAGAACCTGATGTGTTTCTTAAATTTACTTAAAAGAGTGTTTCCGAATTTTAGGACCTTTCTAATAACACACATCTTCATAATATATTCTATATTCAACCTTCAACTATAACTATGTATACACATTCATTACTTTCTGAATTTTTTGACGACACAATGGACATACTCGACGTTCAACATATCTAGATCTCACAATTTGATTTGCACAATCCACACACAGACACATATGACGACATGGCAAAATTAAAACACATTTAGATTTGTCTTGACACACAACACATTTTCTTTTATCTTTTTCTTTTTCAATTTCCCGTTCGTAATCATCAGGTGACAAGCGTTTTGATCTTTTGGGAGTCATAGAACGATTTCTTAGTCCATAATGTGGCGCTGGAAGCTCTACTTCAATATCTTCTTCATCTTCTGATGATGAAAAAGTCTGTGAATTTAATGACACCTCACTATCCTCATCATCATTATCATCAATTGTATGTTCTGTCATAGCATCAGAATCATTGTCACTGATATCGGTGCCATCCTGAAACTGACTGCTATCAGTGCCTTCGCTGTCGTACTGATCATTTATTAGAATATCATCGTCACTATCCAAAGGAGTGGTCATCAATGAATTTACATGGTTTCTTTGTCTTGTGAATAATATCATACCTCGATGATTTAAATAACAAATTAATTTGAATACTCCTAAATACAACAAACCGCAAATAAGGATTCCTAAATATGTTTCTTTTCCTAGACTTGGTAAATAAGATGTGTAGAAATAAATGATATTGTTTAAAAAATTCAGAATAAAGTTTTGGACACCAACTGCACAATTGATCACACTGTTGTATGTAAGACTAACTCCTTGAATACCAAAGCTGACACCATCCTGGAGACTCACAATAAATGTACTACCAATTGAAAAGAAAAATGCAAAAATACTGTTGGTAAAGTCTTCAATCATTTGCACAGCATGATTCCATGTCATGTCACAATAATCATAAATATCAACTACTGACTGTTTTAAAGTTTTAACAGTAACATAGCTACCAGTCCACAAAACAACAGCAAGTGTTTCTAATCCTGTGAATATCAGACATATAACTTTATACAGTAAAACTAGTATCCTCCATAATAACACAAAGAATGCACAAACACATCCATATAATTCTACTAAAAATTCCCAAGCGTATAAGACAACTGTTGAAACAAGTGAAAAAATACTACTTATGATGTATGCTAGTGTTTCAACTATTACAGAGAGGTAATAGTAAGCTGTTGATACTATGTCATAATTGATTTTCAAAACATAATTGACTGTTTGACTTGTAACACTGATTGTATTTGCAACAGCTGAACAAATCCCTAAAAACCCATTTGATATAAGCTTAAACATTCCTTAATTTCTTGCAGCAAATTTACTTTAGAGATAAAAATTGTACTGCAGAAACTTATAAAAAACAAATTTTCAATGTTGCAACAGCAGAAATTCAATGTAAGTTGTAACTGTGTGTCAACTGAGAGATTTGTTCATGTTGAGTTGGCAATAGTTTACAGGCTAACGCCATTACTGTTGTATTTCCGGTTAGGAACACCGGATGTGACATCCGAGCACCTGCATTTATCGTAGAACTGTATACTGTGTTGATGGAAAATTCCCTGTTACTATTTAAAGAATTCTTATTGAAAACTACATTTTAACATACTTTTGAGTAAAATTGACTCTTAACAAGTTTTTAGAACAATTACCAGGTAGTAATGACAATTCTTTACAACACTGCTTCCCAGTGTTTGCAGAAAACATATCAAAGTCTCAAGAAACGTAGAACTATGTTTTCTTTTACGCGCATGAATTCTATGAATTCTTCTTCCGGTAGTTCCTTTTCCCAATTTGTTTCATAGGTACCTACACGTGTTTTTTATTTCAAGTCCCTGAAACATAATTAAATGACCAATTATATCCCCAGATTTATGTTATTTTTGTCTCTTATGTAAAAAGCAACAACTCTTGCATGCATAATTTTCGAATAGAATGTGTATTTTTAAACAAAAACAGTACACGCACGACACGGTGTAAACAACACCAGTCTGGCAGTCACCAGCTTAGACAACACAAAGTTTGATATAAAACAGTTTCGTCTCTTAGGAGTGTTAGGACTCATTGTTTTCAGTACTGTGGTGTAACCTATTTTCGTTGATATAAGGATTCAACACCGAATTTCGGTAAAAGTTTGTCTTAGATGTTTCCTCAGATATTCTACAAAATAATTAAAATTGGTTTATTTCGATTTTCTTTATGAATCCTTCACTTTGACCCATATTTCATGAGCAACCAACTTGGCAACGTGACCCATATTTCATGAGCAACCAACTTGGCAACGGCAGCAGAATGCGTCACCTATTTTCGTGTACAATGTTTGATCTATAAATAAATCGAGAAAAACATGTTGTATGGATACTGGATGGTATAATATTTATAGTATTTATCTTTAATATCAATTCATTATAACTAGTGGCAATTCCTTCAATGAACCACGATTTAAAAAAAAAATAGTCACTGACAAAATAAGAAACGTAGCCTGATTTATTGCTAAAAGTCACTGAAACAACATAAGAATATGGTCCACTTTGTGTTCCATAGAAATTTTCTGCTGACACAGAATCCGCTAGTTGATCACGTGACTTCATTCGTTGGAATACATTCTAGCAGACGACACTTGGAATTTCGATTACCGCTTGGGATTATATGGAAATTCGGCTGATAAAAAATGGTGGCGTTTGGTAATAACTGAAATCCGCCATTTTGTATTTGTCAATGTATACACTTATACATTTTACCTTGCTTGAAACTACTGGATTCATTCTACTAGCTGATATTGTAGAGAAAACCCATGATTATCAAAACAAACATTCTACTAGCTGATTTTGTAGAGAAAACCCATGTTTATCAAAATAAACTAATGCGGAGGTCGTTCAAGGTCGCTCATGTAAATTATTAATCATTTGCGGAAATCCACGAATAATAGGTTTCCACAAAATTAAGTTACTTGACTGTATATATTTTCTATATCATAACTACAAAACATGCCCTACACTTAATGTGTATCAGGACAGGGATTAAGGATTCTAATGTACACTTGTAGTCATACATGTATGTATGTATAAACTGTTAGTGTCACTGTTTAAATTGGGTGGAGGCATCTTGACTCATAGTCAGAGAAATAAAGTTGTCACTCGTCACCTTGATCATGGGTGCCAAACATTTATCAACAAAACAAAATCCCGTTTCTTAGCTTGTCTGTTGATAGCATCAGAATTCCACAGACCACTTGTCTTGGATTTTAACATAATTGGAAAAAAAGGTGAGACTTGTTACTCGAAGTTTACTCGAACATCGTTTGTTGAAAAGACAGTCAAAGGAAGGGTTTAAGGAGAGAGAGAAGCTAATTAAAACTGTATAAATACATCAATAAACACTAACCATACTTTGTTTCCTTTTCTTTAGAGCAAACATACCAAAATGTCTGCATCATTTAATTGGATGATTGTTAGGAACAATTCTTCTTTTCTCATGAAGAGAGGACCTCACCAGTTCAGCAGAGTAAGTAATATCTTTTTTTTGTGGTACCAGTAACTTTTTTATTTAATATATCTAACAGACTATTGAACGTTGCTGCATTTTGTTTGCAGTTGGTTAATTTCCCTATATTTCAGCCACAATTTTTTTTTTCAACATCTTAAAGGGATAGATTTCGGGGGTTGATTTAGGTCTAAGTACTACAGATGTAATTCCTTCAAAAAAAACATCATACTTAGGAATTTCGATATGTCCTCAATTGGCTTGTGAACGCAATAGAGACTAGTTTTTATCTGATTTGAATGAAATTTGGTGTGATCATTTATATTCATGAGATCTTAGACGAGTTCGAATTTGGCTATCTTTCGATGAATGGTTTCTGAATTAATGCCCTTGATTTATGAAAAATGCGTCAAAATTTGTTTGAACACAATAGAGACTGCAGTTTACATCCGATTTAAATGAAATTTGGTATGATCACTTATAATGATGAGATTTAAGTCAAGATTAAATTTGACAATCTTTCGATTAACGGAATTCAAGTTATTGCCTATGACTTAGTAAAATCGCATCAAAATTTGTTAGCGTCTTAGCGATAGAGGTGACAGTTTATGTCAGAATTTTATTAAATAATGTGTGTTTGTTTAAATCAACAATATCTTGCACAAATTAGATTTTTGGTATGATTTGACACAGGTAGGTGACTGCCCTTGATAAACTGAAAATGTATCAGGAAAGTGGGCGTGTCTTGCTAGACAACCACTTGTTATTTTCTTATGCAGATAATTCTTTCACACGTGGATTTGAAGGCTAATAAATTTCCCATTTCTGAGACTATGATACTATTGGTCAAATGAATGAGGAATCTGTCAGTTTAAGACAATTTATCTTACATTTCAGGAGGCTGGTAATTTAAAAGGCAAAAATACTTTCAGATTTAATGGTTTGATTCGAGATAGAACTATTGCTATTCAACCAGCTAAGACTGGGAAAGGCATCACAGTTACAACCAGGCATTTAAAAAGAAATGGTAAGTAAAATTCATAGGGGTCCTGTAAATAGTTTATTAATTAACAGCTGCTGACAACAATAGAAGCTATCTGCTTGCTCTGTGAAATAAACTGAACTATATGTTGATGTAAAATTGAGATTACAGTGTATAAGAAATTAAATTCATCTCTTTATTTGATAGTCATGGTCTGGTATATCTGGACTTTTTGGATTATAAGGTAGTATGTATCCATGTATATTTTGAGAGTGGCTTATGTGTAAAATGTCATTACAGGTCAAAAACGACCCAACAAGAGAACCTTCAATACTAATATTAACAAAGATGGTCGACACACATTAAAAGGTGTATCTAATATCATGAAAAGTGGTAAATTTGATGGAAAAACCCATATGGTAAGTGATATGTGATATCAGCTCAATTGCAAATTGGATTGGTGTTCATTGGTTTTCTCCTTGAGATCAAAGTACAATTATTTCTCTACTGCATGCATTGAACTCTTGTATTGCATCTAAAATTGTTCTGACTGTATTTTTTGGCTCATTCAATAATTTTGTTTTTAATTTTGATGACTACTTTGAAATGTTTTTAAGGCTGCCCTAAGAAAGACATCAGCTATTCTTAGAAGTCAAAAACCAGTTGTTGTTAAACAGAGAACAAGAGCAAAGAAAAACTAAAAAGTTAAATTAAAATTCTGAAAAATTTATGGTCTTTTTTATTTGCATGCTTAGCCCCATTCTGTAGATGGAAATCAGATTGATACTACTACCACCTTAGCAACAATTTCGCTCTGCTTTGTGCAAAAGCATCTCTTAGTACAATTTCCAGTAAGAACAATGGCCCTTGATGTAAATTATCACATCTAAAGCAATTAATGGGCAGGAGATTAAGACTACAGTTTTCATCTGATTTAAAAGAAAACCTTGGTGTGAAGGTGTTAATGAGATCTTCTTCAAAATTGAATTATTCTTTTAAATCAAAATGAAATGTACTCCTACGTCAAAGATTGAGGTTTACATGATAGGAAAATGTTTCTATAGTTATATATCTCCTGTTTACAAATAGGGCATTTTTTACTAGACAACATTATCTTCCCTACACATGATTTACAAAAATGAGTATGTCCACAGGGAAACACTGCAACATTTCTGTTTTTAATACAAATCGTTCAGCATGAACCATTCTCCATTTCCACTGGTTGATAATCTGTTGTTTCACCTATATTTTCTTGGGCATCTCCTAACATTAAGTTTTCATCTACATCGGAATCTGAATTAGCTGAGGATTCACTGCTGTGGCTTACTTGTTCAATGCTAGTTGAAAGTGTTGGCACATTAGTGCTTAACAACAGCAAGTGTTTCTAATCCTGTGAATATCAGACAAATAACTTTATACAGTAAAACTAGTTTCCTCCATAATAACACAAAGAACGCACAAACACATCCATATAATTCTACTAAAAATTCCTAAGAGTATAAGACAACTGTTGAAACAGTGAAAAGATAGTGGACCACAGCCATATACGCCCACCATGGCGTGGGAATGGTAAAAACGAAACATCCAATGTAAGTCTCATCAAAATCGGTTGAAAACTAAAAAAGTAATATCATATTCAAGATTTTTGGGCAAGGGCAATAACTCTGCTTCTAACGGTCGAAAATAGCTCAAATTCGAACTTGATCTTCGTTTTTATACGCCCACATGAATATGTGGTCGTATATTGTCGTCGCCTCGGTCCGTCGGTCAACATTTCTTGTGAGCACTATAGAGACTACAGTTTTTATCTGATTTTGATAAAACTTGGTGTGATGCTTTAGATTGATAGGATCTCGGTCAAGTTCGAATTTGACATATTTTCGATGACTGGTTTTTGAGATATTGCCCTTGACTTAGAACGCCTTGAAATTTGTTAAAAATTGTTCGTGAGCAGGATTGAAGCTACAGTTTTCATCCGATTCTGATGAAACTTGGTGTGATCATTGGAATTGATAAGATCTCGGACAAGTTCTAACTTGACGCATTTTCGATGAACGGTTATTGAGTTATTGCCCTTGACTTTGTTAAAACGCGTTGAAATTTGTTAAAAATAAATCGTGAGCAGGATTGAAGCTACAGTTTTCAACCGATTCTGATGAAACTTGGTGTGATCATTGGAATTGATAAGATCTCTGACAAGTTCTAACTTGACGCATTTCTGATGAACGGTTTTTGAGTTATTGCCCTTGACTTTGTTAAAACGTGTTGAAATTTGTTAAAAATAGTTTGTGAGCAGGATTGACGCCACAGTTTTCAACCGATTCTGATGAAACTTGGTGTGATCATTGGAATTGATAAGATCTCGGACAAGTTCTAACTTGACACATTTTCGATGAACGGTTTTTGAGTTATTGCCCTTGACTTTGTTAAAACGTGTCAAAATTTGTTAAAAATAGTTTGTGAGCAGGATTGACACTACAGTTTTCAACCGATTCTGATGAAACTTGGTGTGATCATTGGAATTGATAAGATCTCGGACAAGTTCTAACAAGAGATATTTTTGATGAACATTTTTTGAGTTATTGCCCTTGACTTTGTAAACATGCGTCAAAAGTTGTTTTTTGCCCTTGATTAGAGCTGTGTTGTTGTATTTGGGTTATTGATATTGATTTTTAAAAATTTTGTGGAATTATTCAGCATAAATAATTTCTCCAATATGAGAAAATTCGTACTTTAGTCACTAAAGACTGTTTTATCATTTCTGCCAGCTGCCAATGGGCGTATGTTACCTTGCATTGCAAGCTATCTTATGAATATGTATACACATACCAAATTTCATTTGATTCCATTAAAAAATCTAGTTTTTAAAGCGTTTACAAGCAAATGTTGACAGACGTGCCGACAATATACGTCTGCACAGAGAGATGTGGGTAGAGAGATGTGGGCGTATAAAAATACTACTTATGATGTATGCTAGTGTTCCAACTATTACAGAAAGGTAATAGTAAGCTGTTGATACTATGTCATAATTGATTTTCAAAACATAATTGAGTGTTTAACTTGTAACACTGATTGTATTAGCAACAGCTGAACAAATCCCTAAAAACCCATTTGACATAAGCTTAAACATTCTTTAATTTCTTGCAGCAAATTTACTTTAGAGATAAATATTGTACTGCAGAAACTTAAAAAGAACAAATATTCAATGTTGCAACAGCAGAAATTCAATGTAAGTTGTCCACAGGGAAACACTGCAACATTTCTGTTATTAATACAAATCGTTCAGCATGAACCATTCTCCATTTCCACTGGTTGATAATCTGTTGTTTCACTGATATTTTCTTGGGCATCTCCAAACAGTAAGTTTTCATCTACATCAGAATCTGAATTAGCTGAGGATTCACTGCTGTGGTTTACTCGTTCAATGCTAGTTGATAGTGTTGGTACATTATATCTTAATCGGATGAGAGGATCATTTTGTACTCCATTTCTACCTCGTACTTTTAATTTTTGTCTGCCTATATGCAAATATTTAACTGAGGGATTAGGACCTCTACTGTTTAATTGTCTTATACCATATTTCATATTTTGGGTAGCTACACTGGGTTGTATAGTTTCTTGTGCAACAACTGCTGGAATGTTAGTATCAAGTGTACAAAATCTAAGAGACTGGAATTTTACATCCAAATATAAAGCAGATATACAAGATACCAGAATCCAACTAAAAAACACTGTTGAACCATCAGACTTAAGAAATATTCCTTGCACTATGATAATGGCTAACCAAGAGACAAAGTCTAATATTGAAGAAATGCAGAGATACAAAGTAGGATAAAATAGGCTTACAAAATCAATTGCCATTGCAAAAAATATAGAAAAATAACAAAATAAAAAGGCAAAATACTGAAGACAAATGTCACACAATACAATTAGAAATTTCAATAAAAGTTTGAATCCATTCCAAATTTTATATAGGCAGACCCATCTTTTGACATGACAGTATAGATTATAGAGTTCCTGAATAATTTCTATATCGGACACATAGACAATGGAGAAGATGACTAGCAACATAAATGTCATGTATAACAATATCTTTAAAAAAACACGTCCAAACATCTTCTGACTTGAGTGTTTTATGTACCGGTATATTGATTGTCGTACTGAACTTTTCTGGACTAACGTGTATTTACTTCTTTATCCTGGTGTGTCATGAGACTTTAAAATGCAGATATCAATTTCCATTTTGCTTATTTGTTTCATACCGATAGATGATTATAATTCCCTTCTAAATTCTACCCATTAATGAAAGATTGGACTTGAAACATCAATGGGTCAACGGGACTAGAAATATTGAAAGTAGACTTTTTGTTTCTTCAATTAGATATGAATGAAGATTCTACAAGGGAGGTAATTATTCAGACAGCTTTAAATTTTTATACGCCACCCAGAGCCGTATATAGAGAGTCTGGCCAACTACGTCACAAGGCGCCATATTGTTACCCTCTCTTAGCTACAAGGCGGCCGACGTTATCCCTCGTAAACGCTCTAGAATTTACAGTTTTTAACCGATTTTGATAAAATTTGGTATGTCTATACAAAAACACAAAAAGAAGACAAATTTTGAATTTTAGCACTTTCCAAATATTAACCACCGAAATATTAAACCTGTAATCTTCCATATAAAAATAGCTAGGGCCTAGCTGTATATTCTACAGCTATATGGAACAATAGGCTAATCACTAGTTATAGTTTATGCAACATATTTATAAGTAATATAATGTATAATATAATTCATATTGTTTTTGATCAATAGGCCCGTGTGCCTGACGAATGTCAAAACGGTGCATAAACTATAACCGATGATTTTTGTTACATAAAGCTTTAGAATATAGTGAAGTTAGTATAAAGGACCGAACTCCATCTTTGTCGAAGAAATTTAGTCATCATGAAAATTGCTCAAAGCAAGATGTGCACTATAAATCGTTATCAACAGAAACAGGCCCGTAACCAGACCAATGTGCCAAGGGGGGGCGAATGCATTTGCGCGGAGAATGAAATAGCTGATAGAGACTGATTTCAGCTTCGATTGAGAACTTGTTTGAATTTTGCAGTGGAGGGGGGGGGGGGGCGAAAATAATTCAAGGAAGCGCCGCACCCCACTCCCCACCCCTGTCTCTTTTACTTGTGGACCTGAACAGAAAAAGGCTCATTATTCAGTTTCAATCAGCACAATTTATTTTATGTCATGAAGGCATGAAAGTTATATCACACCACTCAATAATCATCATTTCAGCTTTGAAACCATTTTGCTTCAGCTGTCGGCTGTTGTCCTGGCGATCTGTTTCTCTTTGACTGTCGTCGAAGTGATTCTGGAAGAGAAACCAAAATTTACACAAGTGACTGGCCCAAAAGACTTAGTGTTCACATTATAGTCTAGACCCACAGTCT